GATGATAGAACTTTAGGGTTGAAACCTAAGCATGATAACTTCTAGGAGTTCCCTGTTTCAAACTTCAACCATAGGATGAATCCTTGGCATGACAACATTAGGACTTGATAGTCTCCCATTAGTTGAGTCTGTTCTCTTCTCATCTCAAAACAGCTTAAAATACAGTAATCATGAATGATTTCTTTCGTACGTTACCGAGCCTTAAGCTATCTGAGAAAGGATTGTTGGAGAGTTTCTTTTCAACAGTCTGGATGTTTAGTATGGCACCCTTTGGGTGACATGCGACGCATTCACTCTCAGGTCATAGTCTTTAGTGCGATTGAAATTGCAAACACAATAATAAAAACACTTATTTCGTAAAAGACAGAAAACAAACTTCAAACCTTTTTGCCCCGTGGGCCCATAATTAAAAGGAAAGCTTTTCTGAAGAAAAGAGTGTCGTTAAACTTCAGCGCCAACGCAAACAGGCCTTGTCCCTAATTGCTAGAACTGTTGTTTAAACCCTACTCGATAAAACAGATGAATCTGAATTCCCGTAATCCGTATTATCCCGAACTACGTAAGCTCTGATCTCTCATATCTGTTGAGAGTACGTAGGCACAATACTGATGTATTGGCGAGCCACCTTCCCCGTAACCCGTAGTAGGCCCGAACTACGTTGACTCTGATTTCTCATTCTCTGATGAGAGTACGTAGGCATAAAGTGCGACGCTTTGCCGAGTCATTTTCTTTTTCTGTTTAAGCCAGCCTTGATAGGTAGATAGATAAACCAACTCGTCCAGTAAACACAACAAGCGTGGATCCCGTCGAGTACGACGGACGTGAGGGGTGCTAATACCTTCCCCTTGCGTAACCGACTCCCGAACCCAGACAACGGTTGCGATAACCTTGTCTTACACCTTCTCGTCAGGTTTTTCCGATCGTTTCCTTTCCCGTTCCGAGGGATAAATAACGAAAGGTGGCGGACCTCTTCTGTTCTGCCGGCACCTTATTTTTGCGGGAAGCGACAAAGGGTATTTTGGTCTTTTTGATAAAATAGAATTGAGAGGAGAATAGAGAGGAAAATAGAAAGAAAGAAAGAAAAGAGAGTTAGAGAGAAAGAAAAGAGAAAGAAAAGAAGAAGAGAAGAGAAAGGAGGAAAAAGTTGGAAATCATCAAGAAAGCTCACTAGGAATTGGATAATCGGGTAAGGGTGTGAAAT